AGCAGATTAACAGATGACATGGGATGGGAGGAGAAATAAGAAATGATTACTTAGTGAGTATAGGGTATTTGGGGGTGATTTATTATTTTGTTTTTTGGCAGTATTAGGATTTGAACTCTGAGCCTCACACTTGCTGGGCCATACTCTTAGCCCTTTTTGTTTCAGTCATTTCTTAACTAGGGTCTCTGAGCTTATGCCCTGGCAAGTGTAGAACCAGATGCTCTTATTTATGCTTCCCATGTATCTGGGATGACAGGAATAGGCCATCAAGCCTAGCTTTTTTTCTTAATTGGGCCTGGATTTTGAACTCGAGGCTTTGTGCATGTAAAGTAGGTGCTATACCACTTGAGCCACACCTCCAGTCCACTTTGCTCTGATTATTTTGGAGATAGGGGTCTCATGAACTATTTGCCTCAAGTGGCCTGGAACCATGATTCTCCCAATCTTAGTCTCCCAAATAAGTAGGATTAAAGTTGTGAACCACTGGCACCCAGTTTACACCCCAGCTTTTATTAGGGTCTTGTGAACTTTTTGCCAGGACTGGCCTGGAACCAAAATCCTCCTGATCTTCCCCTCCAGAGTAGCTAGTAGTTGTGAGCAACAGTGCTCTGTCTTCTGGGATGATTTTTAAAGTTTTGAGACACAATAGTAAGTAGTAATTTCTACAACAGACTGAAAGCTTGTGTTCCTCCAAAATTCTTATGCTGAAATCTTAACTCCTAATGTGATGGTAATAGGAGTAATTAAGTCAGGGATGTTGGTACTTTACAAAAGGTGCCCCAGCTGCTCTTTTGTCCTCTTGTTTTTTTTTTTTAATCATGGGCATATGCAAGAACTCAGCAACCTGTAGTCTGTAAGACAGACCTCACCAGAACTAGACTGTGCTGGCACTCATGTTTTCTATAAGCCACCTGATTATGATACGTTGTAATAACAACCCAAACAACATTATGAATGCACTAAATGCTACTTAATTGCATGCTTTAAAAATGGTTACTTATTTGTTATGTGAATTTTAAATCACTTTTTTCTAAATCACAGATACATAATTTTTAAATCATTTTTTAGAGTAAGCGAAGAATTTGATAAATATACTTTGACAAAAAGGCTAAAAATAAACATTTTAATATATAATTAATGAGAATAAAAAGGAGTACATTCCCACAGCAGGCACTTTGGTAATAACTACTACTATAACAAAGGCATCTACCTATAGATATTCTTCAATAAAGAGAAATAGGATGCACCCATAATTAGTCATTATAATACTGTTTGTAATAGTGAAAGGCTAAATATAATTCAATGATCTGTTAAAAGACTAGTTAAATAAATTGCTACATATATATACACAAAAATTTAAATGACACTATATTAAAAGGAGGGGTGGTGAAAAAACTACACATATACCAGTACATTTTCTGTAATAGGGATGAACACAGAAAGAGTTCATATTCCAATTTATACCTTGAGAAATTAGGCAAATAGACAAATAGGAGAATATATAACAATGTAGTTAAAAGCAATTAACTACATGGAGATGTATGGGAAGATTGAAAATGGTAAATACTTTATAATAACTTAAAAAAAACTAAGATCCATCAGAATATATTTCAAAAACAAAATTTCACACTACCAGGTATTTTAAAATTAAAACCCAATCTAACTAGTATTAGACTGGATGAGATAATACATGTAAAGTACATTATTTGTGCTTTCTTCAGTACTTTATGCTGTAAAATAAACAAACTGGTTTACTTTCCAATTGTTTAATCTCTTACCACACCCCACCAACCTACATGTTCTAGGATTCAACCTCTTCTTAACTTCCTTCCATTAATTTTAGAGTGTGCTTTCTCTACGATGTGGGATTTCTATTGCTGTTGTTTTAATCAACTCCCTACATTAAAAGACACATACAGCCTGGGATGAATCAGTAGCCGCTCCCTATTATTCTCAAGTGTCTTGTAGTTAGGGATAGAGACTCCAGATAGGTGGCCTGTCTCTGAATATTTTTTTGTGTTGGTGGGAAGTGAACCTAGGGCCTCCCACATGCTAGGCAAGCAAGCTCACTACCACTGAGCCACACCCCAAGTTCTGACTCTGAATCTTCACATGGATACTAACTGCATGTCCTCAGATAAACTTACATAAAACTTTCCATCTCAGCTTCCTGATCTATTAAAGACCAAAATTGCCTGAGAGGACTGTTAACAAAGATTAAAATAGCTAATGTATACAAAGCACAAAGCTGTCAACAGTTTTATCACTCTTATTGCACTTCATTGAACTATCATATATTTCTATCTTCACTCCTTACAATAAAGACTCCTTTAAAAATTACATATACTCAAGACTGTAGATGTGACTCAAGAAATAGAGTGTCTGTTTTACAAGCACAATACCCTAAGTCCAAACCCAGTTCCACAAAACAAACAAACAAAAATCTTTAATGCTGGGAGGGATGGGAGTAAGTAGGAAGCAGAAAAAGTTGCACAAATTATTCTGATAACCTTTGGCTCAGTATCTAGTATAAGGCAGGTGCTCTCTACTTATATTTAATTACCTATTTATGCCAGTATGGTAAGTGGTAACTTTGACATAAATAAATAGGCTTATGGGAAATCAATCCAGCAAGATTTTAACTGAATTCATCAAGTGTTAATGGCTTAGTGTTAGCAGACTGTGTCCTATATGGTAATAAATCTCTAATTCCATTCATTTTGGTTTCATTTTATGGCATTTAACAATATCTATGATTTTCTTTTTATAAAAACATGTTTTGGTAAGATTTATTCTTCAATGGTTCATTTCCTATTATAAATTGTATCTGATTGGGCACAGAAGCTCATGCCTGTAATCTTAGCTACTCAGGAGGTAAAGATCCAAAGGATCATGGTTCAAGGGCAGCATAGGAAAAAAGTTAGCAAGCCTCTATCTCAATCAATAAGCCAGATCTGGTGATGCATGCCTGTAATTCTCGCTACATGGGAGCCCATATGTCATAGCAGGATCTCACCCTGAGGCCAACCCTGGCAAAACTGTGAAACACCACCTGAAAAACAACTAAATATTACTTTTCCATAAAGAAGAATGAAATTATGACATTTGCAGGTAAATGGATGGAATTGGAGATCTTCATGTTAAATAAAGTAAGCTAAGTTCAGAAAGACAAAGGTTATGATGTTTTCTCTCACATGAGGATGGTAGATTAAAAAGATAAATGTATACACAAGTACAAACATGATCTTACATACATATACACACAGAGCATGTTTGCAGTACTGATATTGATTGGACTAGCAGGAAGAGGGAGAGAAAAAGAAACTGATAAGAGTGAATATGATTGAAATATATTGCATCTGTGTAGGAAAAAGAAATAACGAAATGCACTGAAAGCTACTGAATAACAGAGCGCAGGTGGAAAAGGGAAAAGAAGAGTAACAGAGGGATTAAAGTACAAAACATTCACAGGTGAAATACCATAGTGAAACCACTTTGAACAATGAGTATGGACTTAAAAATGAAGGACAGGAATGCAAAACAGGACCTGTTACGGGGAGGGTATTAGTAGGAGGAGCAGGGTGAATAGAAAGGTTAAAGGAGGGTGCATATGGTCAATGTGCTTTATATGTTTGTATAAAAAAAACAGTGAAACCTGACGAGAGCATTTTAAATAGGGGGAGGGGATAAGGGAAATGATGGTTGGGATGAACCTAAGGAAGGTACTCTGTAAGCACATATGGAAATGTTACAATGAAAATTTCTGTACAACTAATATATGCTAATAAAAATGTTCCAAAAAAGTAGACTTTTGGTTTGTTTCTGAAGTAAAAATTTATAAGGCCTATTATTTTATATTTGAAAGCTTACTTGTTTAAATATAAAAGACTGACACAATTTTTTTTGGAGGGAAGTGCTTAGAATGTGGGCTCAAGTGGCAGAGCCCAAGGCCCTGAGTTTGAACCCCAGAAAGGCAAAAAAAATTGTATTTCTGTTTTGAGCTGTATCTTATGATTGCATCCTGCTGGATGTATTAGAATGTTACTGGTATTTGTGTGCTTATTTTGTTTGTATCATTATTGGTAAACTCATAAACTCTAATAGATTCTCAAGATAGTCATTTGGAATTTCTACATACCCAAATGTATGCATTTAAAACTAATTTTGTTTCTTTTTCTTTGCTCTTTCTCTTTCATATCTAGTTACATCTTGTCATATTGTACTAACAAACTGTTGTAAATTGTTAGCTAAAAATGGAGTTGAGCCATCCTGTTTCATTCCTAAATTTTATACCAAACACTTTTAAAATTTCCCCATTAAGCTATATTTTGGTTGTAGGTTTTTCACATTTAAGTTTTAACAAGACAGATAATCTGTTTGCTGAAGATGTATTATAAATGGGTATAAGGTTTAGCAAAGAATTTTCCTGAATCTATTATTTTGCTCTATATTCATTAGCATGATCAATCTTATTAGTATATTTTCTGAATAGGTCTTATTAACATATTTTGCTAAGAAAAGTTCCACTTGTTCCTGATAAAATGGTTTAATGAAAAAAAGAAAATCAATTTGATCAGTGCCTCAATAAAAGACCACCTTTTTTTCCCCTACCAGAAAACAGAGATGGTGATTTAGCAACTTATTTCCATCATGTAGTATTTAACATATAAAGATGTACCCAGTCGAGCAAACAGTATCTAGCAGGTACTATTAAAATAACAACAGAACTCCACTTTAAATTAAAAACTGTCTTACAGATTTTGAACCTATTATATACTACAACATCAGATTCTGATACTTGTGCTTTAAGTAATTAGATACGCTTCGAGTATTTATCTATAAAAGAGGACCAAAATACTGGCAATGATAAAAATAATGGATGTTAGCACTAGCACCCTTCTTAACATGAAGTGGATGTGAAATAATGAGTAAGAATTATAAAATCTTATTATCTAGAAAAATTCATAAAGCTGTTCAATGAATTTTAGATTTTGTTCCAAAATTTCAAAAAAGAGAGAAATGTGTTAACTTACAGGGGCAAAACTGAATCAGAATCAAGATGAAACAGCCTTCAATAACCTACCAATCATTTTCTCTATCAGAAAAAGATCAGTATATAATTATAGGATGAATTATACATGACTAGTGGCAGGTGAAACAAAAGTCACACTGCTAGACTCACAGGCTCAATGTACATGGTTTATTTTAACATTCTGTACCTCGACATCCTGAACACTGGATAAAAAAGTTGATTAAATCCAGAAGTGCGATGTCCCTGTCTTGTTTATATGATTCAATCCAGTCGTCCACCACAGACTGTGGGAAAAAAAAATATAAAAATGAAAACTTCAAAAAGTTTTGATACTATAGCAAATAGATTTTCAAAAAAGATTGTGTGGGGGTCTATTTGAACAAGAAAGTTACTTACCTGGAACTAGTTCTCGATGGCCAAATAAAAGCAGTTTCCTCTTTTAACTAAATGCTAATAAAAGGGATATTACTAGGCCTCAAAGATTTGTTCACAATAGACCACATTACAAACCTGACCTTACCAATCCCATTAAGTTCAATAATTTTAAAGCAAATATGGATAATATTGAAACCATATTAATAAAACAGAAAAATTAAATCACCTTCACTTATACAAAGATATGTTTTATAAGTATCAGAAAACCTAATCCATTACTAGCGCATACAAATTTTAACACTGTATGAAACAAACTATTTGTTAAGGACTGTAAGAATGGTCCAACATTTTGAAATCAAATTACTGAATTTATCAACAAAGTAAAAGAGAAAACTAAAATGACTGTATGACAAAATAGATCTCAAAAAGGTATCTGAAAAAATTCTGCAGCCAATCATTAAAAAAAAACAAAAAGTTTCCAGGAAAACTAGGGTGAAATACACTCTACCTAAAGGAAATAAAGACAGTGACTAAAATTTATTGTTAAAATGCTTAAGAAAACTGAGGTCATTACTAAAATGATTTAACAGACTAGTAACAGAAAAATCTGACAACATGATTGAGAAAAGATAAAATATAAAATAACCCTATAATACTGGCAATAACTAGGAAACCTAAGTGGATGAGTAAACAGTTTAAAACTACACTTAGCTAAGAAAAAATTTAAGAGAGGAAACCCATACAGTCATATAGAAAATGTCTTCAGTAAGTATCATGTTCTGAATTTTTTTAAAAACATGAGGAAAGTTTAATGTAATTCTAGTTGGCAGTCCAGTTAGGATTGTTTGGAACATTATTGGGTCAGAGTGGTGAGTAGGGTCAGAGAAAATGTATAAAGATGAAATGTTTTTAAAATGAAATTTTTCATGCACTGATATATTTATAAACAGTAAAATGCATAAATAATAAGCTACGCTTTGATGAGTTTTTGCAAATACATACAGATGTGTAATCATAACCAAGGTAAAGAAATAAAACATTGCCAGAATTGAAACATGTTCCTTGTGTTCCCTTCTAGTAAGTAAACCCTTTCCTACTGAAAAGGTAACTATTATAATGATGTTTATTACTATAAATTAGTTTTACATGCTTTTCAAGTTCATATAAATTGTATTATCCTTTGTGTTTCCTTCAAGCAGAGCTGTGCCAGTAACATTTAGCCACGCACTTCTTTAATACTATCTTTCTATCTCATCTCATTAGTTTCTGGGAGGCTTTGTTTTAAAAATAAGCAGAAAATTAGATAAAAAATTTAGCAGTGAAAAACAAGAATAGCAGCATCATTCTACTTAAAGTTGAGCTCTGCTCTGTTTAATGTACTAGACCTCATAAACACAGGATGATATCAGGTGGGGAGGGGAGAGAGGAGGGAAAAACCACATATGGCAATTTATAATCAAATTTCTGGAAATCTTAAGAAAGAGAAAACGTATTAAAGAGGTTATCTAGAGGGAGCAAAGGATGAGAATGACAGCATACCTCATATCAAAAACAATGAGAGCCCATGAAAAAATGGAATGGCATATTTAAAGTACTGAAAGAAAGAAAAGTCAATCCAGTATTTCTTATCCAACCCCATCCAAAATAATTTTTCAAATAAAGGTAAAACAAAATTTTTTTTTAACCTTCTGGGCATGGTGACACTTAGGAGGCTGAGGTAGGAAAATCAAGAATTCAAGGCCTGAGCTACACTGTGAGATCCTGTCTCCAAAAAGCAAAATAAGCAAACAAACAAAAAAGTACTTTTCAGACTAAAAAACAAAAATAAAAATGAAACCAAGCAAGTGAACTAAACACTCTTCTTTAAAAACAAAGACTGTCTTAATTGGATAAAAAGATCAAATTACTATGAACATGGTTACTTGAGTGATATTTAACAGTGAAGCTCTGAACAATGCCCCTGCTTTTGAGGTATACAGGAGAAGTAATAGAGTAGGTGTATTTGTGAGCAAAGGTGGGAAGAGAATTATATTATTTCAAAGCAACCTCACAAAAAAGTCCCCAAAAAAGGTGAACAAAACAAAAATCTTTTCTTCAAAACATTTGTATTAATTTGACTTTCAGAAAATAAATTATACACATGTATTTTGGTTTAAGAAGTTCCTCTTTTATTTTCACATTTAAAAAAAACCCATAGCATACTTTAAGGACTTTCCAATGGCAGCAGCCTGATTCATCCATATTCCAATGGAATAAGTTATATGCCTCAAAAGCCAGGGCAATGCTCAGAGTCTCTGTATTAAAAACCATTCAATCAGTTACAAAATAATTATCATGGGTAATACACCTGAGATGTCTGCAAGTAGTGCATGGGAGAAGTGCCTTTCAAAGATTATTTTAAAGTTAAGCAAAACATATAAAGGAGGTATAATTTTGAGCTACTGCACAGGAGAAACTTGTACTTTTCATGCTTTATTTTTTCAAGAATGACATAGAACTTTTGAAACTAACAGTAAATTAGCAAAATTTAAAAAAAACCTCATTTTTCTAGTAAGTGGAATTAAGTAATAAATGAGCCTTAAGTAAAATTTAATTCAACACTTCTAATTGAATTAACTTTGCAGCAATGTCACAGTAAGCAACCAGAACCCTCTGAAGAGGGTGAAGGAGGATGAGGTGTAGAGAAATACAGAGGTCTAGATATAGTTAGGACTATAGCAATTGCTCATCCACAGCCTTCTGTTCAGATAACCCAGTGAAATCCACTTCCATATAGCAAGCATTCTACCTATTTGTTACCATTCAGCATCCCTCCACACACACATACTATTTCTTAACCAGAGATTAAGAGATTTGAAGGTAATCAACACAGTGGAGCCTGAATAGAATAGGAACAAACTGTTACCAGCCTCATATATCCATCCACTTATTCTTTGCAAGACATATAGATTATGAAAGATTCTCACTAACTTTCTCCTCCCTTATTATGTAGTACAGCACCAGCATCCCTCTCAAAAATGTCTTCTTTTGAAAGAGTCTGAGAAATTTGATAGTTCAAGTATATCTCTTTCTATGCACTCAATTTGAACTTAATGGCTGCTATGCATTTAAGTAGTATATTGATATCCTATTATTATAAAGAACATCCCCAAATGTAAACTAGTACAACCACTCTGGAAAAAAATTTGGAGGCTACTTAAAAAGCTAAACATTGATCTACCATATGATCCGGCAATACCACTCTTGGGGATATACCCAAAAGACTGTGACACAGGTTACTCCAGAGGGACCTACACACCCATGTTTAATGCAGCACTACTCATAATAGCCAAGTTACGGAAACAGTCAAGATGTCCCACTACTGATGAATGGATTAAGAAAATGTGGTGTTTATACACAATGGAATTTTATGCAGCCATGAAGAACGAAATGTTATCATTCGCTGGTAAATGGATGGAATTGGAGAACATCATTCTGAGTGAGGTTAGCCTGGCCCAAAAGACCAAAAATTGTATGTTCTCCCTCATATGCGGACATTAGATCAACAGCAAACACAACAAGGGGATTGGACTTTGATCACACGATAAAGCGAGAGCACACAAGGGAGGTATGAGGATAGGTAAGACACCTCAAAAACTAGATAGCATTTGTTGCCCTCAACGCAGAGAAACTAAAACCGATACTTTAAAGCAACTGAAGCCAATAGGAGAAGGGGACCAGGAACTAGAGAAAAGGTTAGATCAAGAAGAATTAACCTAGAAAGTAACACACATGCACAGGAAATCAATGTGAGTCAACTGCCTGTATAGCTATCCTTATCTCAACTAGCAAAAACCCTTGTTCCTTCCTATTATTGCTTATACTCTCTCTTCAACAAAATTAGAGATAAGGGCAAAATAATTTCTGCCGGGTAGCGAGGAGGTGAGGGGGGAGAGGGAGGGAGGGGGGTAAGAGAGGGGATGGGGGAAGAGGGGAGAAATGACCCAAACATTATATGTACATATGAATAAAAAAAAAAAAAAGAACATCCCCAGCCCAGCTGTGCAGTGATAGAGCACTTGCCTAGTATACACAAGGTCCTAAGTTTGATCTCCAGCATGGTGGGAGAGGGCTTTGGAAAGATATGGGCTCCTGGTTGGCACAGTGGCCAAAGTGGTAAGAGCGCCTGCCTGTAAGTATGAGGCCCTGACTTCAAACTCTAGTGCCACAAAAAAAGACAAAAAAAAATTCACCATATGATATTCACAAGAGACACACTTAAATGTATGTTTACAAACAGGCTGCCATGTAAGGATCAAACATGAAAAGAGATTTTATAATAATAAAATGGTGCATTCATCAGAAAGCTGTAACAATGCTAAATGTCTACACACCAAATAACAAGAGCCTCAAGACACATAAAATAAAAACTGAACTAAAACAAGAAATATGCAAATTCATAATAATGATTGACAATTTTAAAACAAGTCTCTAGGTAACTGATAAAAGCAGCAAGCAAGAAAAAGACATGTATACAGAAGATATGAATAACATTACTAATATGACCTAATTGACATAAAAAACTTAACAATTACAGAATATACATTCTATTCAAATATTCTTCTCAAATACATATAGAATTTATGAAAAGTAATCATAAATCAAATGTCTAAGTATGAAGAACTGAAATAACAGAGCATGTTCTCTGCCCACAGAGATTTAAATTAGAAATCAGTAACAAAAATGTATCTAAAGTAACTTCAAATGTTTGGTTATTAGAAAATATTTTGAACTGGGCATGAAGGTGCACACAAACAATCCCATCTACTTGGAAGGCAGAACCAGAAGAATTAAGAGTTCAAAGGCAGCCAGGCAAAAATAACAAGACCTTTCTTTAAAAATGAAAGAAAAACAAACAGGGCAAGCTCAA